ATCTTTGCTGAAACGTGTACATTAAGTGTACGTCATCACGCTATTGGATGTGTCCCCAGAGGCAGAATTTGGCTGGCTTTTGATTTTATACAGTGCTGTTTACAACTTATGTCCAATGTAACAGTACAATAGACATGTTACAATAACAACCTGTGCATCGGATTTACCACTACTGTGGAGTGGTGGTCTCTTTCTTTTTTCTTGATCAAATTGTTCCTGTGAATGATGACCATTGCTTTGAGGAGGCACGTCCCTTGCTGGATACCCTTTGAGAATTGCATATGTCATTGCCTTGGTGATTTTCCTGTCTGGGACGTTGTCCTGTGATACACCTGGAGTCCTGTCCGTTATTTGATGTGACACCATGCACAAATATGATTTCTTTATAATTTGAGAGTCATATTACTCTGGTAAAACCTTTGGCTTATCGGTGGTTGGCGATTTTGGTGGATTGGGATGTTACACTGCTTTGGTCTTTGCATGGAGTTTTGAAGCATTTTCACAAGGGATTGAACTTTCAATTAATTATTATTAGTATTATTATTATTATTATTATTATTATATTTCTATTTTTTGTTCTGGTATTTAATATTGAATGAGATGCAACCATGGCACATTTTGTTTAGTACAATTTGCTAATAATCAATATCTCATTAGAGTGCTCACTTTTTGATGTTATTCAAAAGAAGGTTCACAAGTATGGTTTCAATTTGGAGTTTTGAATTGATGCTTTAACCTCTCTGGCGGTATGATTATGTCAGGAATTTTGTACCAAAATCGCGTACCATTTTTTTGCATGGAAATATTGTAATTTTTTTTATTGTAGGCCTGTAATTTAGGAATAACTCCCTGAAATCTTCCGAACAAGAGTCTAGTAAACATCCCTGATATGATAAAACTTGAAACACGAAATCATAAATTATAATTTAATAAATACTCATAAAAAATAATAATATTATAATAATAATAAATTTAATTCAATAATATAATCAAACCAAACACACTGAAATTTGAAATATAGCGCCAAGTTCGCACATTGCTGAGCAAAGTCGCAGAATCGTTTTTAGTGTCTGATGACAAATTTCCCCCATGAATCATTATCACTCAATTCTGCAAGTAGTTCTGATTTACTATCGCTGTTTCTCTAGCGGGTCTAAAACCGATTTTGACATAAAGGGACACTTTTTGGACGCCGTGGAAGTTTCCAGCAGAAAGAACAGTCAAAATGCAGGCAGGGTGGCAGGACAAAGCAGTAGGGACAAAATGTATGTGAAATGCTTTCATACAGGAATGTTTTGCTATGAAATAATCGTTTTAAAAAAAATGTCATTTTTTTTAAATTTTCAAATTTGCCGCCGGTTGCGGCGCCCGTACGTCCCGACGTCACAGAGACCGGAACACGGAAGCCAGATGCCGGCATCGGCCGGAGGAGATGGCCAGGGACGCTGCAGGGGACACATCACGGGAACGAAGGACAAGGTAAGCGCTGCAGGGACCTCCCTGAGCAACGCCGCATGGTAAGACCGAGTGTAGCTCGGAGGTTACTGCTTTTGGTACTGAAACTTTACCCGGAGCTACACTCGGGAATACCGCCAGGGAGGTTAAAAGCCCTTGCAGGTCATCATCTTAAAGTTGACCATGAATATTGGCCCAGTGATTATTGCACTCACTACAGCATGCGCAGCAATGAGTAACATGTGTAACACAATCAGTGCTTTCATACTTAAGCATCCTTGGTGTGAGTGGCTGTGTGCGTATGCGAGCACAGGGTTCAAGTTTTTTAGGAAGGGTTTTTTTTTTTTAAGTGCTTGTGAGTACTTTTCATTTTTACACTTTTTCCTTAAAATGTATATTAGCCCCCCATGTGAGTATAGCAACATGAGACATTAGGGTGTAGTATTAGACTGGTGTTGTCAACTCTGCTCTCCGCTAAGCTAATGGAGCGCAAACCATGCTCCCTTCTTCCCAGTCACAGCATTGGGGAAAATGACAGCAGAAATAATACATATCCAGGGGCAGACTGACCATTTGGGAACTCGGGCACTACCCAAGGGCCCAGGGGTCAGAAGTGGGCCCCATGAGATGCCCCTAATACATTTCATAGGCTTTTTTGGGTGTGGTTTGAGTGTGGGCAAGGACACAGGGGCCCCATGATCCCCTATTGCCCGGGGGCCCCATGAGTTGTCAGTCCGCCCTTGTACATATCACTTCCTAGTTCTTTCTAGCTAGGAAAGTATAACGAACAGGCGTTTGCTGGTCTCCCTACCCTTTACCCCGTGTCATCCAAAATTGATACTTTATTGCTGGGTTCTTGAGGTCTGAAACAACTTGATTTTCCTATGGCTTTATATAGGAAACTTTTTTTGCCAAATGCAGCCTTTTTCTTTCAAACGTAGTGCTGCTTGATACATGCTTTTGAATGCACGATGCAGCATTTGCAATGGAAAGGCTATACTTGTACAAACAAATGGCAACTTACCAACCAACCTGCAACCAACCAAATTGTCCTGTCTAACAGTTCACGTTAAAAACAGGGGTTTAGTTTGCACACATTTGCAAATATAGGCATAAACTGCAGATCCCCTCTTGATGGCACCCCAGTATTCTGCAGTTCCCTAACACTATACATTTTGAGAGCCTCCCATAGTAGTGCACATGTACAATAATGGATAGATTGAGGCCAGTATGTATGGAGGGAGCCCACCCCTCCTTAACCTCCCTAGTGGTATTCCCGAGTGTAGCTCGGGGTAAAGTTTCTGTACCAAAAGCGGTAACCCCGAGCTACACTCGGGCTTACCCATGCGGTGCTGCATAAGGAGTCCCTGCAGAGCTTACCTTGTCCTTCGTTCCCGCGATGTGTCCCCTGCAGCGTCCCCGGCCATCTCCTTCGGCTGATGCCGGCATCCGGCTTTCTGTGTTCCGGTCCCTGTGACGTCGGGACGTACGGGCGCCCGCAGCAGCGGGAGATTTGAAAATTTAAAAAAAATTTCATTTTTTTCAAAACGAATTTTACATAGTTAAACATTGCTGTTTCAACCCATTTCACATACATTTTTTCCTAGTGCTCTGTCCTGTCCCCTGTCTGCATTTGGACTGTTCTTTCTGCCCTGGAAACTTAGAAAAGTCCATGGCGTCCAAAAAGTGTCCCTTTAGGTCAAAAGCGGGTTTAGACCGGCTAGAGAACAGCGATAGTAAATCAGAACCACTTGTAGAATTGAGTGATAATGATTCGTGGAGAAATTCGTCATCAGACACTGAAAACAATTTTGTGACTTTGCTCAGTGATGTGTGAACTTGCCGCTATATTTCAAATTTCAGTGTTTTTGGTTTGATTATATTATTGAATTAAATGTATTATTATTATATTATTATTTTTTATGATTATTTATTAAATTATAAATTATGATTTCGTGTTTCAAATTTTATCATACCCGGGATGTTTAATAGACTCTTGTTCGGACAGATTTCAGTGAGTTATTCCTAAATATTACAGCCTACAATAAAAAAAACGACATATTTCCATGCAAAAAAATGGTACCGCTTTCAGCACCAAAAATCTGAAATAATCAGGGAGGTTAAAGGTACAGGGGCGCACGGCCCTAGAGCTTCCAGGTAGAAGTGCTAACCACTTAAGCCGTCCAAACATGGGTCAAATTCCGAAATAATTTTCTTTAGAAAATAATTTCTGAGAATTTTCTTTTGAATTTCGCACCATTAGTGGGCCACAGCAATGGCCGATTTTCAAGCGGTCATCAAATTTTAGTGATCTGGCATGTTGGAAATTTTTTGAAAATCAAACAAATTTTTCATCAATGATTTTAGAATTGTGCGAAAAAGAAATTAGCATGAGCTGTGACCTGGAAAGAGAAGAAAATTCTTGGCCACAAAAATTCTTTTCTGTAGCATGTGAAAATGATGGCTTGGTTGGTCGAATTTCGAAATCAATGGTGGCACCATCGGATTAGAAAACGCACAAGCTTTCAGAATTTCTAAGCAAAATTTGTTCAGAATTTGACCCATGAATGGTCTGCATTAGCCACTGTACTGCTTCATTTTTTAAACAGGTGCAGGTGTGGAAAGGTTGGAGAAAGGGGGGCTAGAGGCTGGAGATCTTCTTTAGGCTGGGTTCACACATATGCGGTGCGGTATATCCAGCGGCGGACTGACCATTTGAGCACTCGGGGAGGGCCCGAGGTCAATAGGGGGGCCCCATGAGATGCCCCTGGTAACTTTTATAGGCTTTTTTTGAGTGGGGGCAAGGACACAGGGGCCCCATGATCCCCTATTGCCCGGGGCCCCATGAGTTGTCAGTCCAACCCGGGTATATCACATGTGATTCGCACAGGGTCCACACCGCATTCCTGTGCAAATTGCGTGCGGTACCATTGGAGCCATACATTTTGTATGGCTCATATCACACTGCATTCGCACTAGAATTGGATCGCATAGATATTCACACCCATGCGATGTGATTCTGCACATTGCAACCACGTTTTGCGAACTGATTTTGGGATTTTATTAACTTAACATACACACCCTCAGTGGTTCGCATGAACGGAGTGCGATGTGACGAGGTGCGGAATTTGCACAGAAAAAGCTGCGAAGTATGCACTGCATCAGTGTGAATCCAGGCTCAAGGGCCCATTCACACCATGCCCGGAGCTAAATCGCCCAGGAACACAATGTGCATTCCTGTGCGATTCACATGCAGCTCTGTGCAGTGTGAATTCAATCTCAAATCGCACCACACCGCGACAAAAAGTACTGCATGCGCTACTTTTTAACCTCCTTAGCGGTATTCCCGAGTGTAGCTCGGGGTAAAATTTCTATACCAAAAGCGGTAACCCCCGAGCTACACTCGGGCTTATCATGCGGCGTTGCGTTGGGGGTCCCTGCAGCACTTTACCTTGTCCTTCGCTCCCGCGATGTGTCCCCTGCAGCGTCCCCGGCCATCTCCTCCGGTCTATGCTGGCATCCGGCTTCTGTGTTCCGGTCCCTGTGACGTCGGGACGTACGGCGGGAAATTTGAAATTTTTTAAAAATGTCATTTTTGCTGTCATTGCTGTTTCAATGCATTTCACATACATTTTGTCCCTACTGCTTTGTCCTGTGCCCTGCCTGCGTTTTGAATGTTCTTTCTGCCTGGAAACAGAAAAGTCCATGGCGTCCAAAAAGCGTCCCTTTACGTCAAAAGCGGTTTTAGACCAGCGATAGTAAATCAGAACCACTTGCAGAATTGAGTGATAATGATTCGTGGGGAAATTCATCATCAGACACTGAAAACAATTTTGCGACTTTGCTCAGCGATGTGTGAATTTGCCTCTGTATTTCAAATTTCAGTGTTTTTGGTTTGATTATATTATTGAATTAAATGTATTATTATTATATTATTATTTTTTATGATTATTTATTAAATTATAATTTATGATTTCGTGTTTCAAATTTTATCCTACCCGGGATGTTTACTAGACTCTTGTTCGGACAGATTTCAGTGAGTTATTCCTAAAAATTACAGGCTACAATAAAAAACTACATATTTCCATGCAAAAAAATGGTCAACCCCCCCCCCCGCTTTCAGCACAAAAAATCGGAAAGAATCATACCGCCAAGGAGGTCAAAACGCACTGTAACTGGATCGATTGGTACAAAAGTACAATACACCCGAGGGCAGGTGTGGGCAAACACACTGCGTTTGCAACCTGTGTTTGAAGTGTCATTAACATTTTAATGACACCCGCTGCAGATCGCAAAAGCAGCGCATTTTGTGTACAAGGAAATCGCATGGGAACGCACAGCGCGTTCCTGTGCAATCCTAGTGCGGGTATGTTGTGAACAGGCACTCAAAATGTCATTTCCAAAGTATTCTTCCTTAACAAATTATAACATATATCACATTTTAGTGATTGGATTTACATACTGTATACTTTCATTTGCTCATATCTCTGGGTAACTGAAAGCCTATTCTATAGCATAGAAGGTAATTTTAAAACATATCGTGTTCAATCAAAATCCATTCACCTACTGAATGCAAAATACAGAACATCCAGTCATATAACCACTACAGCTGCTACATGTGCACAGAATGTGGTCTTTGATTCTTCGTTCTAACATACTGTTAGGTTAAATCTGGAAACACAAATAAAAAATTAAAAAAAATCTGCAGTCAGCCAGTAGAGGGAGCACTTGCAACACAAGCTAATGCACTGTGTAGACATGAAATTCCTGAAATCTCATTGAACCAACATTCCGGCAGAAAACTCTAAAAAGCATCATGAAGGAAGTGAAACACCAACCGAAGAACTGAAACATATTTTTCACAATGACGGTAGTATCAGAAAATGTACAAACATGCAAATAATACCTTGAGTCCTCAGTAGAAATGGGTCACACGCAGGGGCGGACTGACCATTTGTAAACTCGGGCACTGCCTGAGGGCCCGGGGTCAGTAGGGGGCCCCATGAGATGCCCCTGGTACCTTTTTTCATAGGCTTTTTTTGAGTTTGTCAGTCCGCCCCTGGTCACACGCACGTTTTGGGCCCCGTACCAGGTAGTGAATTGCCAACATCACAGAAAAAAGAACTATAATTCTGTGTGACGCAGTTACTAGCCAGATGAATCGCATTCTGCCTTATTACATCTCTTGGGACCTCCAGTGGCATTATCTCCCTGCTGGATTTTCCAGTTTCGCCCTGCTGAGACAGCCTATGCGGTGTCATGTTTCATAGGTATATCAAGAATCTAGTGACACCTTTGTGGGAGGTGAGATGAGCCAATTCCACTGCACTGAAGTCTGTGTGAGAAACAATAATGGCTGCACACTGTTACACATTCAAAATTGAAATTTCCATCTTGGATGGAATTAACATTTAAAGTTAGAAATATAGAGTACATCAAAGTAGAATTTTACCCGGCTAGGAGCGTTAGGGCTCATGTACACTGCAGCTGATAAACTCACGTTTAGGAGCTTTTATCTGTTTTTTTTCAGCAGCCCCTGAACTCTCCCTAATCTTTTCTATTATTTTATATACCGTATTTTTCGCCGTATAAGACGCACCTGACCATAAGACGCACCTAGCTTTTAGAGGCAGAAAACAGGAAAAAAAAAATTCTGAACTAATGGACTGCAGATATAGTACAGAAAATGACCAGAGACTGTGGACATAGTAGAGGAGATGACCAGAGACTGCGGACATAGTATAGGAGATGACCAGAGACTGCGTACATAGTACAGGAGATGACCAGAGACTGCGGACATAGTATAGGAGATGACCAGAGACTGCGGACATAGTATAGGAGATGACCAGAGACTGCAGACATAGTACAGGAGATGACCAGAGACTGCGGACACAGTACAGGAGATGACCAGAGATTGCAGACATAGCGCAGGAGATGACCAGAGACTGCGGACACAGTACAGGAGATGACCAGAGACTGCGGACACAGTACAGGAGATGACCAGAGACGCGGACATAGTACAGGAGATGACCAGAGACTGCGGACATAGTACAGGAGATGACCAGAGACTGCATACATAGTACAGGAGATGACCAGAGACTGCATACATAGTACAGGAGATGACCAGAGGCTGCATACATAGTACAGGAGATGACCAGAGACTGCATACATAGTACAGGAGATGACCAGAGACTGCAGACATAGTACAGGAGATGACCAGAGACTGCGGACATAGTACAGGAGATGACCAGAGACTGCGGACATAGTGCAGGAGATGACCAGAGACTGCGGACACAGTACAGGAGATGACCAGAGACTGCGGACATAGTACAGGAGATGACCAGAGACTGCAGACAGCACAGGGATGACCAGAGACTGCGGACAGTACAGGAGATGACCAGAGACTGCGGACAGTACAGGAGATGACCAGAGACTGCGGACATAGTACAGGAGATAAACAGAGACTGCGGACACAGTACAGGAGATGACCAGAGACTGCGGACAGCACAGGGATGGCCAGAGACTACGGACAGTACAGGAGATGACCAGAGACTGCGGACAGTACAGGAGATGACCAGAGACTGCAGACACAGTACAGGGATGACCAGAGACTGCGGACATAGTACAGGGAATGACCAGAGACTGCAGACATAGTACAGGGGATGACCAGAGACTGCGGACACAGTACAGAAGATGACCAGAGACTGTGGAAATAGTACAGGGATGACCAGAGACTGCGGACAGCACAGGGGATGACCAGAGACTGTGGACAGTACAGGAGATGACCAGAGACTGTGGACATAGTACAGGGATGACCAGAGACTGTGGACACAGTACAGGAGATGACCAGAGACTGCGGACATAGTACAGGAGATGACCAGAGACTGCGGACATAGTACAGGGAATGACCAGAGACTGCGGACATAGTACAGGGGATGACCATAGACTGTGGACATAGTACAGGAGATGACCAGAGACTGCGGACATAGTACAGGGAATGACCAGAGACTGCGGACATAGTACAGGGAATGACCAGAGACTGCGGCCATAGTACAGGGGATGACCAGAGACTGCGGACACAGTACAGAAGATGACCAGAGACTGCGGACATAGTACAGGAGATGACCAGAGACTGTGGACATAGTACAGGAGATGACCAGAGACTGTGGACATAGTACAGGAGATGACCAGAGACTGCGGACATAGTACAGGGAATGACCAGAGACTGCGGACATAGTACAGGGGATGACCAGAGACTACGGACACAGTACAGGAGATGACCAGAGACTGTGGACAGTACAGGGATGACCACAGACTGCAGACAGTACAGGGATGACAAGAGACTGTGGACAGTACAGGAGATGACTGCTGACCTTTGGGGAGGGGGGGGGGGGGGGGAGCGGGTACCTGAATTTGACAGGTACCCGCTCTTACTTCCGCGGAGTTGTTCTTTGACCTTACCTGTTCCTCCATCCAGCCGCGCGCTGTCTTCCCGGCTTCTGTAGTGTCAGCGCTGGGCTTGACAGCCGGGTGCCCAGTGCGCATGAGCGAGAAGCGCTGCGCTTTGTGATTGGTCCGGCGGCTTCTGGGATCTGTCATGTGTCCCAGGTACCGCCTTACCATTCACAAAGAGCACCGCTTCTTGCGCATGCGCACTTGGGACCCGGCTGTCACGCACACTACAGAAGCTTGGAAGACAGCGTGCCGCTGGATAGAGGAACAGGTAAGGTCCCACTGCAGAGCTGAGCGGCCGGCCCGGTATTCTGACACGACGGCGGTGGAAATACCGGACCGGCCGCTCCATATTCTCTCCATAAGACGCACTGACATTTTCCCCCCTTTTTTGGGGGGAAAAAGTGCGTCTTATGGAGCGAAAAATACGGTATATTTATATTATTTTATATTCTATTCTTATGTGTTCTGTTCAAATTCAAATTTGTTCTATTCAA